CGAAGAAGGCATTGAGAGCTGTGATAACTTTGTAATTTACCCCCAGTTGTTCTGAATATATTTTTGAAAGATCCTGGAGTAAAATAATACAGTTGTGTCTGGGGCCCATGTTTATATATAGCAGAATATCAGTCTGTCTGAATATTGCTTTGAGAGGGAGACCTAACTCTAATTCTTGATATTAGATTACTTCCTGGTGCTTTAGCTCAGTTCCTTCCACAGCCACATAGCTGGTTTTTAATTTTCAAATCTACTAGTGAAAACATGATGGAATATGTCACCTAAATTAATATTTTATTCTTCATATAGGTTGTCAGTTTAGCTACAGGAATCAATTCATCTGTTAATTTGCTGGTACCTTGATGAGAAAACATCTGTATCAGAGTTATCAATTCATGGTACTACTTAGCACTCTGTAACATAGGAGTCCCCACATTAATCTGATAATTGAGATTCTTGACTGAAGTCTTTACATACTGCTTCCCTTGAGATGCCTGATAAGTTCAGGAATTAAGGTATGCTATGGGAAATGCAAAATGGATTGATCGTTGGAATAGACCCCAGTGAATTTTCTTTATTCTTGAAATTCCCTTGGCCCAATAGCCTTTGCTTGCAAGCTCATCTGTAAATTCTTATTTATACAGATGAGCTTGTTATATTGGCTTGTTACATTGATGTGTTTAACCTATTTAAAGCTGATAATTGTCATTGTTTTTTAAGTTGTTTGATTGTTATTACTATTTGTTACTCTCTCCTTTTGCTTACATGGCTTTTTCCAGAGGTCAGATTTGTTAGTTTGTGCTCACATTTGAGCCTAGTGCAGGGCCTGACAGGTAATGGATAATACTTAGTGAAACCTAAGACAATCTGTTTAACTTCCTGGGCACCAGTTTCAGATGATCCCTTAGGAGAGTGGTTCTGAAATTGGGGGTGAGGTGACACGGAGAAAGGGTGACTTTCAAATGATATTCTTCTACTTTTATATAATGCAAAGTGTTACTGATAGATTTGAATACCATGCATAATGATTGAAAGAGAAAAGTCAGAATTTTTTCTTTTTTTTTTTTGGCGACGGAGTTTCGCTCTCGTTGCCCGGGCTGGAGTGCAATGGTGCGATCTCAGCTCACTGCAACCTCTGCATTTCGGGTTCAAGAGATTCTCCTGCCTCAGCCTCCCAAGTAGCTGGATTTACAGGCGTCCACCACCATGCCCAGCTAATTTTTTGTAATTTTAGTAGAGATGGGGTTTCACCATGTTGGCCAGGCTGGTCTCGAACTCCTGACCTCAGGTGATCCACCCACCTTGGCCTCCCAGTGTGTTGGGATTGCCACTGTGCCTGGCCCATAATTCTTTTTTAGCCTCTCGCTGCTTTAAGAATTTGTGGTTCCATGTTCATAATCTTTCCATGCTATTCCATCTCAACAAAACCAAATGACTTATTTTTATATAACTAAGTCTACCTTCATCCTGTCAGTTTCTGACGGGGCAAAAGCAGTTAAAATGTTAAAATTGAGATAAGTCAGTAATCATGACTTCTTCTTATTAAGTTTTCTTCATTTTTACTCAAAAAGTAATTTTGCCTTTACACTAAGTGAAAGAGAAGCTATTTCTAACTACTCCAGAGAAATAAAAAGAGGAGTTTATTTTTCGGCTTCATTTTAATAACATAGCTCTCTTAACACATCAGCCTCATATTTCTGTGTGTGTGTTTCTTTGCTTCTTTCATATCATTACTTATTTTACCAGTAAAAAACAATTTAGACTTTGGAAAGTAAACTTTTTGGCTTACTTTTAAAAATTCCATTTACTTTTATTCTAATAAAAAATGTTTTAAACCATCTATTTTCTTCGTTCCTGGCTGCTATTATCTTGACTATAATTGCCCAGTTTCCTTTCTGGCTGATCTATTGCTAGTCTTTATCTGGATGTTATTAAAGAATATAAATGCTCCATAGAGCACCATAGTCTCAGCCAGAATATTTTCAGATTCTCAGCTAAAATGAAACAGAACTGGTGCTTTGGCTGTTAAGTAAGTAGCTCAGATTTGTTATCAGAGAGTGTGAGGGGCTCTAAATTCATTACGTTAGCTGTTCCTGCGAGCGAGCATTTGAAAAATCGCTTCAGCTGTTTATGGATTGTGGTCCTCGGGCACCAGATAGTGGATGCTAGAATGTATTGCAGAAAAGCTGATTAAAGTACTAGGATCTCCAGCAGGAAGAGTAGAAAGTCATTTGTAATACCCGTGTCTGACTCTGTTGCATGCACTTATATATTTCCTTTTGAAAGCTTTGGTTTATTATCAGCTCATCCAGGAAGGAATAACATTTTTGCAAAAATGTGCCTTTTGGTGAAAACATCAATAAACTATGCTTGATGAGAAGTTTATGTAGGGAGACTGATTTGAAATTTGAGGTTCCCAAATACTTTGCAGTTTTATTACCTCACTTATTGGAGTCATGTTTCACTATGACTTAAATTTCAATAGTAGCTACTTTTAAGTTCACAGTTTTAATGTGTTTTTACTGTATATCAGTTTTACTGTATATCAGTATATAAAGTATATATACTTTAAAATGTAGACTGTCCAAATTTACTTGTTTTTTTTTTCTTTTCTCTTCTTTACTTTCTTTTTTTTTTTTTTTCTTTTTTTGCCCACCTTCCTCTCTAACAAAAGTTTAGTGAAGCACATTATGGAAGTATTTTATGTAATCACAAAACTTGCAGAATTTTAAGTATACTTTGCACTCCCCTTGTTAAAATATTGCAGTATTTTCTCATTACTTTCAAAGTAAAGTTCAAACTTCTTAGCTCAGAGAGACATTCATGATGTTTCCATTTCTTCTCTGTCTCGTCCATACCCACTCGCCTGCGAGTGTCCTTTGCTTCAGGTACACAGAGCTGCTTACAACCATTCCCCTTCTCCTTTCTTTCACTGTGGTAGCTTCCTTCTCCCTGACCCTGCTTCACCTGAGGATTGCCTGTCCTTCCTTCAAAACTGCTCAAGTTTCCCCTCTTCCAGGAAGACTTCCTTGACCCCCAACTGCCCTTCCAATCATTAATCCCATTTAGACTGGCTAGTAAGCTCTCTAGCATTTCATCAGATTTCTTTATACTCTACGGTAATCTGTCTGTCTCCTTTAATAGAATAATATTCCCTGAGGTCAGAGACGACAGTGTCTTTCACTTTAAAACCCGGCATACAGGCCTGCTGAACAAATGCAACTCGACAAAATTAATGCGTTTTATAGATACATTGTGTAATTTGATTTACTTTGATCCTGGTTCTGTAGACATTTGGGGGCATGGGTTATGCCATTTTCCTCACAAGGAGTTTTTTAAGTTGACTCTCTAACTTCCATATTGCTACCTAAAATGTTTAACAAAGGTAGGTCTTGGGCTTTGGGAAGGCAGGAACTTAATTGGATGGAGGATATAATGAAATGACCTTTACTTTGTCAGTTGGCCAAAAAATCTGAAATACAATTTATGGGAAATTAGAAAGACCAACTTTATGACCATGAAATCATATATTCTAGCTTATATTCTTAAACTTATAACTTTATTGATATACAAAGTTCCTTTAAGAGAAAATAGGTATTTAACAACTTTTTACTTTGAAAATACCTGGTTATAGTTTCCAGATTTTAACCTAGTCTTAATCCAGGAGGCAAGACAAAGTTAAAGCTAAAGAATATTTGCTAATAATGGGTTGTAGCATTTAAGTATATACTTGGTAGCCTTGAGGTGTCTTTGTAATATTTGCATCAATATTCTGCATTCTTAAGCAAAACAAACAAAATGCGAAGTCCGTACTTACACATAAGATTTTTTAAAAGTTACTTAATCTTATTTTGTAATAGAATAACATTTTCATTTAGTCTGACGTTTTATTCTATGTGCACTTAGTATTTGCTTTCATATAATTATTTGCTAAGATACTTTTTATAATTATTTCTTTAGTGATGTAGCAAACTAAGTAAGTGTATTATAGCTGAATCATAGTCCTGGCTGTTCTTTTTATTTATTGAAGGAACAAACGCTGTATTATTAACATTCTTTGTCCTTCAATTGAGCTTGCAAAAAAAATTTGTTAGATCTTGAATACCCTAAGAAATTTATTATGGATGATTTTTAATTATATTTCTATTTTCATCATTTGATATATTTTAAAAATCCATTGTGATAAAACAGAATGGGGAAAAATTACCCATGTCGCAGTAGTTAGATATCTGCTCATTCTCGAAGACCCCAACCTCCTTTTAAAAAATATTTTTAAGATTTATTATGTGTTCAAATTGGTATTGAATTTATATGAAGTGTTAAGATTACAGCATGTTAGGTTATTATTGTCGTTTCAAAATGTATTCACTGTTTTGGTTTTTGGAGCGCTGCCTCCAAGAGGTTCATGGCATTTGGTACGTAGTTCACGTATTTCTGGTCTACAGACCTTCCCTATCGAGTCAAAGGCTACATGGTTCTGATATTTGCATTTTCTACTGCTATAAAGCTCAACAATAGTAATTAATGGTTTTTTTTTTAACTTTCCGTGTCATTACCAATAAAACTTCAGTTTTGAGAAGACTAGTAATTTGTACCTTTAAAGAGCCACATTCTTTTGCTTTTGTCTCAAAATGTATTATGCTTCACAAGTATACTGTGACAGCCTGAATAGAAAAGGGGGGAGGGGACATTGTCTTCAGCTGGCATGCTGTTATCAGAGGGAATGTGTTTCTGGACACGAGATTTAGCATTCATTGGTTGTCTGAAGAAAGCTATTTCATCTGAGGATTGGACAAGAAGCTGCGTCAATTTGCTGCCCGTCTCCAAGGCACTGGTGATGCTGCCTTCACAAGCTGGCTAACGTCACGGCTCCATCACCCAGCGGGGTGTGGACTCTCTTTTTCTGTTCTTCTCTATTTAATTCTCTATTTGCTGCCTACTGCATTTCTTAATCTGTCTTCTGCCAAATGCTAACAGCATGATATTTTGCAATCATCTAGGTGAATACAAGAAAGACGAACTCCTAGAAGCTGCTAGGTAAGTGATTCCATTCATTTTAAGTGTGTATAATGCATTAAGGAAGAGAAGGAGGAGGGCAGGTGGAGGACTATAAAAAATATAACGTTATTGTCTTGCTTGGATTTTATGCAATTATGCAGATACTAAATCTTTATATACTTTATTTTGCATGATTAGTATATATAATAAAATCTTTTCATATGGTGATGATTATAAGATTAATTTTATTTGGAACATTTCTTAAGGTACCTGCAAACCTTAGTTGCCCAGCTTTTTCAATGATATTCTTGGAGTATTTAAATACCTATATCTTCATTTTCTTCTGAAGATTTTTCTAGTAAAGCTTGAATGAAGAGCAAAAAGTAAATGTTAAAATCCTCATCTATTTTTTTGTTGTTGTTCTTGGTTGTTTATAATTTAATTGATTAGCTCTTTACAGCATTTTGTATGTATTTTTTAACTCCAATGTTTTAGTCCATTTATCAGAATAAAGTTTGTTTGTAATTAAGAAGATGACTTAATGTAGATAAATAAAACAAAAATGTAGAAAACTACATTATTTAAGATATACCACTATAGAGTAATTAACAGATATTAATTAGAAATGTAGTAATTGAACTGAATATTGCAAAAGAGATTTCTTGTGATCCATGTAAAAGAAATCAAAGCAAACCCATATTTTACTCTCATGTGAAAAAATTATGCATAAATATTCATAAGAAGCTTTGTAATTTTATAGGAATTGACTTACTACCTTTTTATAGGAGTGGTAATGAAGAAAAACTAATGGCTTTACTGACTCCTCTAAATGTGAATTGCCATGCAAGTGATGGGCGAAAGGTAAGTTATTTTAAATACAATCCTCTTTAATTGCCTTGCAACAAAATTTTGTGAAAGTGGCATATATATATAAGCATGTATACCTACATGGCTTTATTTTAACTAGCATCTTTTCACTGTAAATGAAATGCTGCTATATCTGTTATTGGCAGTTGTGACACATTCATAGAACTGGTGAAGCATGCATCTTAAGTAAGCCTTTTCTCTTAAATGTCAGACACTGCAAGTTATTTGTTACATGAAACTGCAGCTTTGTCGGTGATTAAAATTACAGCATATGCTCTTTTCTGGGTATGATAATGGAAACTGGAAATATGTGTGTCCTGTTTACCCATCTTTGTTAAGACATTTGTGTTTTTGATTTCTTATTTGGCAGAAGAAGATTTGTTTGCTAGATACCAACACTTTTTCCATTAAAGCTGAGAAATTGCTGTTAATGATTTTTTTACATCTATACGGTTCTGCTCTTTTATTATTATTTGTATTGGCTAAGTTTTAATTGTGGAATATTGAAAGAAAATAGATTAAAACAGAGAGGAATATTCTATATTAATATACAGTTGCCATAAATGCAAGGTAATATATAAAATATACAGCTGGCAGCTTCATTACCTACTTTGTATTCTTGCTGAAGATAGACTGAAATGTAATCCGTTATGGCTTTAGTAATTGTAAAGTTTTGCAGTGATTAGACTTTGAAAACCAATGCACTCTATACCATAAAGTTGGTTTTTTTAAATGAGAGTTAATTTTTTAATGTTAACTAAAAACCTAAAATATTTTTAAAGACGCATTACATATATTGAGGAAAATTATATGTCTGATATTTAAAGAATGAATTCTTTTAAAATTATCTACAGTGAAAATGTTATGGCAAATATCAGGATGGATGGTACGCCTTAGAAATAATGAACTATTTTGCTTTTAAAAAATTACTTTTCTGTGAGTGATAATTTTGCAGATCAAATTTTTGCATGCTTCCCCACTTTTTCTCTATTTTAATAAAATCCAAAAATAGTGGCAAGGAATCGAGTCCCTCAGAATATAATTTATGTTAATTTGTTTTTGTAGATAGCTCATATATTGTTATATGTCCCAGTGAGTATTTTGTTTCTCTGGGTAATTTGGGGAGAGACTTCTACTTTCATAGAAGGTTAAATTACACATATCAAGCTATAAACTAGCAAAGATTTACTCAGCACTGTTACTTACTCTTGGGAAGTGTTTTAAAATGGTAACTGTTCATTTTTCCTTCAGTTTTGAAGTTGCTTTAGGGAATTTAACACTCTTGTGTGCACTTTAAACTCCAGATTTTATTTGGATTCTCCAGGTAGATAAAGTGATTTCTATCACTGTGTAGAAAAGGGCCTTCTCATCTGTGGTTAAATGCAGCTGTTTTTGAGACAGAGCTTGTTTCGCCCGGCCTACGTCAGTTTTCTATAACCATTTTAATACTACAGAATTTATGTGAGAGTACTACAGCAGAAGCTGATTTCTGTCACGGCTTCGTTCTCCCTTCCTTACCGTTCTACTTTGACAGCCACATTCCTAGTGCAGTAAATCATAATAATTAAGGAACATGATCCCTGATACTTTAACAAATTATCTCTTCTCCCTGCTTTATCTCCTACACGAGTGTATAGAACTCATTTATTTTTCCTTTTCTTTAAAGGAGAATATACTTCCTTTAACTACAACCAATGTATTCCTCATCCAAATTCCTGTGGTTCCTTTTCTATATGATTCTATGGCATTCAGAGTTCCTTAAAGTTCATAAATATCTTTTTCTCTTACTCCTCTATTAGCTCTCCTTGTATTTTCTACCAGGACCAAGGCTGGCACTTTGCGTATAGCAGAAGCTTAGAATACAATTCTGTTGTTCCTTGATAAACATAATTTTATCCTCTGAGTGCGAAAAACATCTACCCTTTGCCATTTAGAAAATTAAATCAGAAGTATGTGAATGCGAGATTTTATGTTTTTTGTTATTATTAATATTATTCTATTAATTTCTTTTTGGGTACTGATAACATGAGGGAGAACTGTATATTTTATAATGTGTAGAATATTTTTAAGAACATACCTCAAGCATTATTATTGTACCAAAGGATTCCTAAAATATAAATAATGCAATAATGTTCCAAAATGTACTTATACTTTTTTAGATTTTAAGTTTTTTCAAATTAAATTAGATAGAAAAAGAAAATTAAGCATTTATTTTATGGTTTTAGTGCTGTGCGTATAAGAAATAATTAACAATTGCTCATCTGTGTGATTTGAATTGAATAATTCCTGTTTAGATATTATTCTCATTTATGGCACAGAGTAATTCTTATTAAATGTACCAGTTGCAGTAAAGCCACAAGGTATTAAATGTTCTGGGTGCTAGTGGAGATTGGGACAAGATCCCTTAGTTATTCCAATTTGTTTTATTTTCTTCCTGTTGTTATCAAGAAAACAGGTAGTCAAATCTAGCTGCTAAAATTACAAGTATCTGTCTTAGTAGATATGTAATCCTTTTTTAGAACATTTACATGTGTTTATTTAGAATTAGAAAGTCAGATTGTATATTAATGAGAGGCTAAAGGTACCTTTTCACATATAGTAAGTCAGGCATATAAAGTTTATTTCCTGAATTTCATTTTAGAACACAGTGTAGAACCAAATCCTTTTTTAGAAGTTTCCTAAATTACTGTATTATTGCTTGACTGAGCCCTTTTCTGTCTTAGTTTTTACTACAGTTCCTGGTTTGTAAATTTAAAAAGCCCATGAAAATGTTAATTTTGAAGTGTTTTTGGAAAAGAAATGTCTCTTATACAGTGGTTAGTAGGTGGGGAATTTGCCTAGAGATATGTGGGGGTTTGAGACTTTAGGTTTTTTTTTTTGATGTAATATGTGGGCTTATACAATGAGAGTGTAAATTTTAAGTACTCTTAATGCTATGCTGTGACTTGATGATTATCTAATTAGGTAATATGTGAGAAGTTAATATTTTATTTCCCAAAGACAATTGTTTTCCTAACCTTTAGAATTCCGAAAATTATAAAACATCAATAAGGTTTTATACAGTTTATATCGTTACTATGCTTTTATTTTACACATAAATCAAAATTGCTTCTTGGCTACACTAGAAATTTTATTGACTTTTTTTTTTCCCCCTAAAAAAAGGCAGAAATTTTTTTTGTTCTAAAATGCTACCTTTTGTTGTTGCTCTAAAATGATACTTGTATACAATTATATACATGTGATGGCCACTTTTAGAAACATACGGACATTGATATTATTTAGTCATCTTCTACCTTCCGCCCAGTATGATTAGTCATGACAGTCCACAATTCATTATTGCCATTAGGTGAACCAGAACCTTAAGATAGGTTGTTCCCTTTCTAGAATTCTTTATTCCTATATTTTCAAACTTGGATTTTTTTGACCTTTAATCTCCCTTTACAGTGTTTTATATCAGTATCAGATGTTTTATTAGCTATTATCCCATGTTCTGGCCTTGTTTGCTATCTAAATTTAAGGTGGTAATATTCTCTTATTTTCCAGTGTTAATTTTCATAAATATACCTTTTGTAATAAATGAAAATAAATATTTGAATAAAATTAGTCCAGCAGTCAACTCTTTTGAGAGTTCTTTGTGGTTCCTTTCTGTGTTCCTTCTGTGTTCCTTTTCTAACTGTCTTTATTCCCTTCCAAAATAAATGTCCTAAATTTATTCATTCCTCATCTTATCAGGCAATAGGCAAGGGTTAGGGACTACTGCACATATTCCCAAATAGAAATAATATATCTTTGAATATATCTACTCTGCCTGCCATTGCTATTATTATATGTCACCAAATAATTGAAAGTAACTAATATTTGATAGGTGCTTTTAAAATAACATCTCCAATGTAATTTTGAGTATTTCAGGTTTCCCTCTGTCCACCAACACTTAATACCTACCATGTGTAGGTGACTGTGCTTAGTGCCATGGGAGATAACCCTATGGTTGATGGTACTGGTTAACAAGGAGCTTAGACATTGGTAGAATGATTAAGACATTATGGAAGACATTGAAGCTGATGCACTAAAATGATACAATATTCCTTTTGCTGTGATACAGTTATAAAGTGCTGATTTAAGGTGAGAATGTTTTTTCCTGGCCCTTTTATTTTTAAGGCTTTAGTATTTAGTATACCCTTCTGTAAGAAACCACAAATTTAGATGAACAGGTAATTGGAGGAACATGATTTTAATTCAGAAAACTTAAGGATTTCTTTAAATGTCAACTTTCTGTAAATATTTGCTTCCAAATAGTTAATAATGAAGAAGACTGGAAACAGAGAAAAGTAAAGTGTTTGAAAACTGCTTCCAAAAGGAAATCAATCAGAAATAAAGTAGAATTTAGTGAATTTAGTGCTGTACCTTGAAGACACCATAGAAAAATTGTGATAGGGCAAATAGACTGTAAGGTCAAAGGGATTGGTTTCTATTCTGCTTTCCAAGTGTGTGTCAATGACTCTATAGTTTTTAATTTACTCACGCACAAATGGAAATAACCATACCCATTCCACGAGGCATTTGAGAGGATTAAGTGAAATGATGTGGTCAGTGTACCTAGTACAGTGCACACAGTACCCTTCAGTAAATTAGATTCCTACTCCTTTGATAATTTTTTTGAAACTTTGAAATATATCTAGAATGGATACTTACATACTTTTAAGTACTCCAGTGTTCCCATTCTCTCCCCTTAAATGTCTTTATTATCTATCCAAGCTCTGTCCTAGCTGGATTTGGATAAAATAACATATAGGTTGCCTGGTTATCTATAAAGCATATAATTGAATTAATTCAGTTGGAGCTTGGCCTTCCCCTCTCTTCACCCAGTGTCACATTTAATAAATAATTTTGTTTAAATTAGCAGCTTATAAATTCAGAAATACATTATGGAGATATATGCCCATTTTTAAACATATGTTGATTAAAAAATAATATCTGGCTGAAAATAATGCCAT